AATTGCAGTCAATTTATTTCCCATGATAACTTTGTTTTCATCATATACTTTGCTACATATGATGTCTGATTTTCTGTTTAACCTTCATGATTATTAAGCTGCTGTCAGGGCAGATTAATTGTGTGTAATTCAGGGCTATTTTTTTGCTCCTCAGGCACTAGCGGTCCCAATTCACGTGGTGCTGTGGGTCAGATCAGGCATGAGCTAAGCAGGGGGTACATTTGATTTTGTTATATAACTAACTTGACCTGAACTGGTTTCAAGCAGAGACACCTTTTCATTAGCAGACTACTCATTTCTATTGTGTAGACAGTTCGCTGCTGAAGTGAGAGGATGCGAAGAAGAACAGCACAGAAAGCTGCTTGGAAAAAGTTAGGCCACAGTTCATTTTCAATGCTGTGAAACTGCCACGGATGAATAATAAAAAAGTGTGCGTCTGAAGGATAACAGAAAGCACTGCCACCCTAGGCTGGTGTAAATCTTAGCAACTCAATTTCTAACAAAAACGTCCAGGACCAAGAACATTTGTTATTCTATAAACATGCAAACAACACCTCATAATGATCATTTTAACAAGACAAAAAATATCTTTTAGATACTGACAAAGGAACTAACAGTTTTTAAGAAAAAAAAATAACAAATTAATCAACAATGCTGAAAGTAGGTTAATTAGTTTACTCATATTATACATATTTACAGTTATGGATTTAACAGATGCTTTTTTTCCCAAACTGACTTACAATAGAGGAACGTATGAAATTTGCCTGTTTCAACAATTATAAACATACAGACTTTTCTTAAATATATTCTTCCATTTTATACATTTTTTATTTATATTTTAGATATATGTTTGTGCAGCAACATAGCAATGTATTACAAAATGTTTTCGTATTATATACACATACATACACGTATATATATATATGTATATGCGCATATATATATACTGTATATAATGCAATTGCAAAAACGTAAACAATCTCTAAAACAGAAAAAAATTTAGAACCTCTAAAACTAATTCACACTGTACTTTTACAAAATAGGTACTGATTTGATATAACCAATGCTTTTATTTCCGGAGCCTAGGTTTTCACAAGAATGCTGTTGTGTGTCTTTGTTGGTCTATGTTCTCAGCTCATATTTGTAACTCTTGGATGTTTGGTTGTGGCCTGCTGTGGTCCTTCTGTTCACATGGCACCACCTTGTGGATAAAATCTCATTAAGCCTCTTAAGGAGAAGAAAACAAAAAGCCACATAAAAATGTAGCAAAACGCTATTAAAGCTTTCAGCGAATGAGTAGCCTGACCTATAAGTAGCATACTGGCTCAAAGAGGCAGAGTTGTCCAAAACTTTCCTGCAGATTAAAAGAAATTGCAACTGGTAATGAAGCAGAAAGAATTTATTATCAACCATAGATAGGAAAATACATTAGTGTAAGTAACCTCTATGTACAGATCTCTAGAACTAAGAATACAGAGAGAAAATAGTTGTTTACCATTCTTTTCCAGAGATTTTTTAAAGAGCTGCCTTTTTCAGATTTGATTAGAGATTGAACATTCATTGAATATCATGAAAACTTTTTCTTTTTTTTTTTTAATTATGGATGTGTATCTCTGCTGGCTTTATCTTGAATGGTAAACAAGAGTTGATCCCGTGTACTACATGATGGCTCATGATGGTATGTACAGTGTTAGTCACAGAGAAACTACTACAAAAGGACATTGGCCTCTACGAAACATAAGTGTTCTGAGGTAAAAATAAAAAGGTCCAGCTAATCTATCAATTTTATTGCAGAAGGTTTCAGTATTACAAAGGCTGGAAACTTTTGTTATAATATAAAGGGTAAAGTAGAAATAAAGCAAGAGGTAATGGAAGGACAGGAAATAAAGACTTGATCCATTAGTTGCTCAGTTTCTCATTAGTTTAAGTATAGATGTTGGATGTGTACTACTAAAATTAAGATTTTTTTATTTTCCATTTAATATACTTGTCTGGGAAGGATGAATTTGAAAATTTAAACACAAAGGTCTCTGAATTTAGTTTCCATTACCAATATTACTTTCTAGCACTTTTAAGCAGCAATCGTCAAGTACAATCACTTATCACTGATTGCACCAATATCAAGTCAAATACTTTACCATACAGTTTAATTTAAGTGAGACACCATCTCCGACAACACCTGGTGTCAAACAGCTCTCCATCACGACATTAAATTTCACAAAAATAGTCTACTAACAAGCAGGACGATCTACAGATTTAACATTATCGGCCTGTGGGCACCAACTTCGCATCTTTCTACCATTTACTCAGAGAAGCAAATATGTTATATACAATAATCAATGTTAATAATTGTGAAACAGATCATTAAACAAAAATAGACACAAATAATGTAGGAGAATTCATTATATACACATACACAACACAATTCATTTGTTTTGCAGAAAGGAAATATGCAATACACATTTTATTCACACTTTACAAAACACTAATCTCATTTTTACTTTAATAACATTAACAATTCATGGTCACTTAAGACAAAACAAAATGCTGAAGAATATTGTGAAGAGGCCCCGAATAACAAAAGACTGCTCTGGTTCTTACTGCTAAAACAAAGCAAGACGTAAAAGCTACATGCTGCGTAGTTCAAAGAAACTGATTAGTGACATGTTGAATGTGTGATGGTCATGCTGACATCAGTTTAGTGAACCAAAATACATGAACTACAAATAGACCACTGCCAGACATCATTTGCAAATCATAGAGATGATAATTTGGTCCAAAGGCTCCGAACTAAAGGTTTTGGAGATAGTTTCAAAAATAAAAATCCCACATGGAAGTACCATATGAGGAAAATCTAACTCTTGCAATTGGCTTCAGAAGAACACAACAAACTGGCACTACACAGGAAAGATTATGGCCATTTAATATGAATATGAAAATTTAAGTGCATCAGATTTTAAAATGTTTGGTCCTGTGTTGCAAAAATTATAAATGTTTAGAAATTTGGAATAAAATGCGGATAACTATAGATCAAAACATTCTTAGTACCTGATTTCTAAAGACTCTTCGACCTCAAAAAGATGAAGATATATTGATAGCATAATGCAATCTAAAAAGAAACTACTGAATATCCTTTTCTGTTTTTTTAGACCAGTGGTTGGGAAGTTGCTCACCGAAGAGTGTGCAAGACAGATACACAGTTGCACGATATATAGGAATGGCAGAAGTGTTACTGACTTGACTTCACATAGACAGATGGCATGTTACGGAGCTTCGCAATTCCCCTCCCTTTATGTATACGACAGCGAGACACGCTGAAATAATAGCTTGAGATGAACGATTAGAAGGACAAGAAAAGCATGTACTCTGAAATTTACAAAAGAAAATAAATTACTATAGTAAAAAAAAGAGTGCAAAATGAGCAATGAGTGCAAAAGTATGGCAGTGAGAACCAGAAACAACCTCTTTGTCTTTTACACAAGCTGGTATGTTTTGATAAAAATGTACAATACAATCTTAATTTTCTGAATTTGGATCATAATTTATTCTTAGTACAAAAAAAAAAAAAAAAAAAACGTTTTTTTTAAAAAGCATTCTTGCACGTGGCTCATATACAATCAGATCAAGCTTAAATCTGTCCATTTATATATATTCGATTAAATTTTGTACAAAGACCTGGGAGGACCTTTCTGATACAATATAGAAGGTGGTTAAGGCTAGGTCAGAACATTACTAGCCTTAAGAACAGTGCTACAGATCTTTCCAGGATGTGTGTAATGAGAGGATGAAAAGGTATGGGAAATCCTTTTCAACCCAATACAGTGAGAAATCGCTGGTTAAAAGACTCCCTGGTTAGTCTTCTTATGTAAAACCTCCCTTTCTAATAAAAACCTCCTGTTTATAACCACAGTGAGATCAAGCACAGTTTAAATTATTCACATAGCCTATCGTACAAAGAAACAAAGAGAGCCTGCCTCCATCGAACGGGTTAAAACAAAAGTGTGCAAAAAGCAGTGCCGCTGAATCGAAACATCTAAAATAAATTGGTTTACATTTAGCACGATTAAGCTCACACCTTTCCAACTCCCACCAGAGGGAGAAAGACAAATAAGTGCTTTTTTATGTTGTCTAAGCTTGTTAAAAAACATTCCGTAACAGTGCCCTCACTTAGAACGTCTAAAACGTTCTGAATATTGCACCATTGATGGGAGAATAAAAACATCAGGAGATGAGGCACCGAAGCACCGATGTAAAGCGAGTTTCAGCACCGCACTAGTGGAAAAGCTCTCTTCCACCCTCCTTTCCATTTGGGCACTGATTTTACTTGCTGAGTTTGGTCTGTAAAACTCATTGGTCACTCATCCAAAGGTGAGTTACGCAAGTGTGTATGAAATGAAATTCAACTGCAAGTCCAAGTGGAAAATTAACTTTAAAGAACATGTTTCAATTGAGGCTGAATTCATAAAGGAAAAAAAGATTAATGCTTATTTGCATGATCAGAATTGCAACAATGGCTGTTTGTTAGTATTAAGGTCTGACCATAAAAGGAATTAAAATAGTCTACAATTCCTTTGAATGTGTGACCAAGTGAGTTACCCTCCTCTTACAGTTTGGACACATTTCATGCACACAAGCTATACCCAACAATTAAAAGTATGATAATATATCAGCCTATGGGAGGAAATGATTCAACAAAATAAAAAAGATCTACAGCTTAACAGATTGAAGAAAAAAAAACTCCCTGACAAATAGAAACATGTTGGACCCTAAAAATTAATAAAGATAGTAGAGAGAGAAAAAAAACACAACTATATATATATATATATATATATATATATATATATATATATATC